GATGGATCGATTCTGTGACTGGAGCGGTGGGAGTAAGTGCGTTTGAGATGGCTAGGTTGGCACAGGATAGAAGAGCGTTTAGAGCCCTTGTACAAGAGTCGATGGCACATAACAACAACAACAACAACATATAATGGTGCTGCAATAAACGTGGATGTGAATACATGAGTTGTGTTGCAGCTCTTCTTTGGGACATACGCCTAGCAGTGAGATTGCTGAACCAAATGCTATTTCTCTTACCAACTTTCGAAGGCAGTGCCAATCTACTTTCCGTATATGGTTGCACCATTTTACATCCCCACCAACAGTCTCTGAAAGCTCCAATCTGTGCACACCCTCATCAGCATTTGTTGTTTAATGTCTTCTAGAGCACTGCTGTTTTTGCTGGAGTGAGATGGTATCACACAGTTGTTTTAATTACTCTGTTGGCCTAGTGATTAGGAGCTACACTGCCAACCCAAAGGCACACAGTTCAAATCCACTAGCTGCTCCTTGGGAGAAGGATGAGTATTCTCTTCCTGTGTGATTACTGCTTTTGAAAACCCACTGGAGGGTCAGCTATGGGTCAGTTCCAACTCAATGGCACATAACGGCCCAACAATAGGTAATGGGGGAGCTCTGGTGGTTTAGTGGGTAAGGAGATGAGCTGCCAGCTCAAAGGCAGGTTCCCATTAATCATCTGCTCCACAGGGCAAAGATGGGCAATCTCCTCTGAAAACCTGCTGGAGAGTCAGCAATGAGTCATTTCCAGTTCAGCTGCACATAATCGTGGGCATTTCATGTGTTTGTTGGTAATCTGAATGACTTCTTTAGTGAAGTGTCTGTTCATATCCTTTGACTCCTTTGTAGTTGGGTTTTCTTTTTCTTGCTGAGGTGTTGAGGTTTTCTATAGAGATGAAACTCTTGTCAGGTATGCCATTGCTAAGTATTTTCCCTCCCAATATGCAGCTTCTCTTTTTACTCTGCTGCATGTAAGGATTTAAGTTTTTGAAGGTCCCAACTATCTAGTTTATCTCCTGTTGATTGTGCATCAATTATTATTTTATACTGATGCCATTTCTTAGGGCTCCTGAGTTTGACCCAAATTTTTCTCTGATGATCTCTGTAGTTTTAGCTTTTACATGAAGGTTCTTGATTCATCCTGAGTTAGTTTTTTTATGTGGTGTGAGACATGAGTCTTGTTTCAATTGTCTACAAATACACATTCAATTTTGCCAGCACAGTTTGTTAGAGACTCTTTTTCACAGTCTCTTTAAAATGGATTTTATCTTTTTGTTTGTTTGTTTGTTTTTTTCAACGATCAGCTGTCCCTAAGTATATGGATTTACGTCTGGTTCCTCAGTTGTATTCCATCAGTCATTGTTCTTCAACCACACAGTTTTGATTACCATGACTGGGTAGTTGACTGTGAGATCAGGAAATGTAAGGCCTTCTGCTTTTTCTTCTTCAGTGTCTTTGTTTATTCAAGATCTTTAGTATCTCTTTGCTTATTCAAGATCTTTTTTTGTTTCCAGAAGAAGTTGGTGATTACTTTCTGCGTTGTTTGAAAAATGTTGATGGTAGCTGGATAGGCATTGCACTTTGCAGATTACATTTGGCAATATTGCCTTTTTCACAATGTTATGTCTTCTCATCCAAGAACATGGTATATTTCTCCATTTGTGTAAATCTATTTGGGTTTCTTGTAACTATAGTATTTTTTTTTAAATCAGATTGTTAAAACACTTGGTAGTGGGCTGTTGTTCGGTACCATAGAGTTGGCTCTGATGCAGAGGGGCCCTACATGGCGTTGAATGAAGTCCTGTGCCATCCTGCCCCCTGCTGCTCTGGTTGCGCCCATTGTTGCAGCCACTGTGAATCCGTCTTGCTGATAAGCGTCCTCTTTCCTCATGGCCTCTGCTGGACCATTGTTGTTGTTGTTGTTATGTGCCGTCGAGTCGCCTGCGACTCATAGCGACCCTATGTACAACAGCCCTAAACTCCGCTCTGTCCTGTGCCAATTGATGCCTTTGAATTGTGATGTTGGTGTAGAACTATGGAAGAAGTGCAGTCAGAATTCTTAGCAGCAGGGATGGCAAGATTTTCTCACACATATTTTGGGCTTGTTGATAGCTGATGGTCTTGCATTTTTAATCAGAATTTTGCTTAACAAGATAATACAGATGTAGGTTGTTGTTATGTACTGTGGAGTGGGAAGCGACTCATAGCTGACCCTCTAGTGGGTTTTCAGAGATGCTAAACCACACGGGAAATTACCCATGTTCTTCCCACTGCACAGCTCATGGCTTAGAGCCACATGCCTCTGGGTTGACAGTGCAAATCTTTACCACTAAACCACTCAAGTTCCCTAGAGATATATGTTGTGCACCTTTGAGTTGGAAGCAACCCATAGCTGACCCTCTGGCAAGTTTTCCAAGGCAGTTAATCGCATGGAAGATTGTCCATCCTTCTCCTGCAGAGCAGCTGGCAGATTCAAACTGTGTGCCTCTGGGATTACAGCCCAGCTTCTTACCATTAGGCCACCAGAGCTCCCTTAGAGATATGTTGTTGTTGTTAAATGCCATCGAGCCATTGATGACTCATAGCAACCCTATGAAAAAAGTTCTCAACACTTGTGTGACTTTCATCCTTTCTTCAAGTTCATAGGGTTTCCAGAGGTAAACTATTTACGGAAATGGATGCCACTCCTGCTTCCAGGCTTATTTTAATCAGGGAGCTCCACCAAATACTGTCCACCATGGGTAACCATTATCACATTTGACACACCAGTGAGTGTCAGTGTTGAGCTTCACGACAACCACCGGTTACCTCTATATGGCAAGTGGACACACCAGGGCTATACGACCTAGAAGAATGTTTGTCTAAGCACAATTAAAAAACAGGCCTGAGGGCGGCAGATTAGTCACCCACCTTTGGCTTGGTAGCATCACTTTTGGTCCACTAAGCCAATTGGTCTTTCTCTATGTTGTTAAGTGCCATCTAGTCGTAGAGGACTCATAGCGACCCTATGAACAAAAGTCCTCAACACTTGTGTGACTTTCATCCTTTCTCCAGGTTCTAATAAATCAAGAGTTCCATCATTTCACACTCAGAAATCTGCCACTAAGACTCTGTCCTTGGAGTGAACAATAGCAGCATTATCAGGCTGAATGAGGTTAGATAGTTCAACTAAATGTTAAAAGTTTTGAAATTACAAATACATTTAGATACTGTTTTCTCCTACTAAATTCAGAATTTACCTGATATGATTAACATTACCATAGTAAGCCAGGTTATAATTCAGCACCACCTCTTATAAAAAGGTTGAGTTCCTTGCAGCTTGTTACTGCAGAGTGGAATTTGCATTTGCAAAGACATTAAGCCCTGTAATGTGCAGATCAGTAAGAAGTCAACTGTTGTTGCTCCAGCAAGATTTGCCCAGCGGTGAGAAAACAAGATAAAACTCATGCACTTGCTAAGACCAGGTGGGGAGGCTGTGTGTGGCAGTGCTTGGGGGTAGAAGTGAATGCTTTTTAAAAAAAGGATTTAACAAAGTGTAATCCTGGCTTCACTGCCTGCTCTCATGGGAAACCAAAGCTTTAACTGCAGGCAATGGGAGTTTCACATTGTCAGCACCAACTGTTTAAAATCCTAGTATCTAATATGAAGGATCAGAGCAGAAAATGTGATTTAGTAAAACTTCAAAAATGTGCGTTGCCTTAGATTTGTCTTTTCAAATAGAGTGAATCAATGTATTCTATCTTTTCGAGAGGACATGCACAGTACTAACATGAGACCACCTCTGGTTACTTCTCGCAATAGTTCTGCTTTCCACAATACATCATTATCCTGTACTATACATGAAAGAGACACTAAAAAACATGCTAACAGTCCTATGAGAACATAAGACTACAGAGAACTTGTCATCTACTGCTTAAAATCAGTAACATTTAAGCCCTCAGACATACGTATGTGTTCACATTTAAAACAAATGTACTACAAATCTTTTTTTTGGAGCAGGACCTTCCCAATGCCTGTGGGGATAGGAAAAAATAAGACTGCTACTGTATTTCACATTCTAAGAGAAACATTGGTGGTGTTTATATTTTTATGACAAAGGCCCATCTTCATTTAGTCTGTTCCCCTAGGGGTTAAAGTTAAGTTCTGAACTCCCATTTGACTTTCTACTCTTAAACCAACTGCATATTTAGATGAGCAATGTTGCTCTACCTATACTCAGGGCCATCTCATTTAGCAGAGGAAACAGCATCACCCTCTCACAGAATAACCACACATCTTGTTCTGGCAATTTCTCACCCATAGTATTCAACCACCTTTATGCTCCATTTTCACTTTCAGCTAGTCTGGCTGAAACAGTCTGATTTGTTGGGAATAAGGCTAAATTCTTCATCCTGCAACTCGTGACCCCTCAGAAACATATTTGATACATTAGCAGTCTTTTGATTAACCAGAAAGCAGGACGACTGCACACATTATTTAGAAGAGCACCAAGGTTGTCTGTGTCTACCTTTCGGCTTCCTAACTGTCCTCACTTTCCCGAAGCTGAAGGTAGAGTAGAATCAGAGCTGAGTGCTTCAAGGAGCATTACTCTGTGGTACTGAGCCATGAGGATGAAGTCATACTGGTATAGAAGCTGCTTCCATGTAAGCAAAGTCTACAGTTATTATTTAGCCAGGTTTTCAGACAGTCATATATTAGCACTATCTTCATATTCATCGGTAAAGAGGAAAAGAAACTTTTCCCCTGTAAAAACTAGTCTGCATATACAATATGACTCTAAGGGAACAGAGTTTCACAAGTGGCTTGTACAACTACACTTCCTGCTGTAATAATTATACAGTTGGACAAGACATGGGCTCCCAGTCTGCCAAATTTTAACAGCTATCTGTGAACAGTCACTCCATACTAGTATATTTATTTTCCAGTAAAAAAATCATATGCTTGGCTTTGCATACAAATGTTCACTGCATTAAAAACACTGAGACTTTTGTTTTTCTTTCTTTTTTTATTACATTTGGACCTTTAAGAAACATATTCCATTAGATATACCACTATTTGGGAAAAATCTATTCTAATTTTTGTGAAATACGTGTCACAAACTTAATCTTGCTTCTGATTTCCAAGACTTTACTCAAAGTTTATGAAAAAGGTAGCTCTGATCTGTGGGATCCTGAGCCTTGAGGTTTCGGATGTTTTCATTCCAATAAGACAATTTGAAGTGGATGAGGAGTTCATTCCCAGCTGCTTTTCTTCTGGAGCGGGGTACTATTTTGCTCCATTACAAGAATATTCAATTCTTTTAAGCTTTGTTAAGTTACTCTTTGGAAAACTTGGTAAAAAATAATTTTTCTGTACAGTGATAAATTTACCAAACCATACCCAAGAAAAAGACATAATGTATATGTGCTGTGTTCACTTTAATGACTACGTCTTAACTAGTAATTAACTATGCAGACAGCTACAACTCCAGACCAACATGATCCAAGCGTAGTCCAAGGCTACAAGTGACTCCTTAACACAACTCATGGTAGCTGAGACTTTGATGGAAGTGTGTCAACAAATACATACACTCAAATAAGATGTTTTCAAGAAGTTACTCTTGGAGGAAGTAAACCTTGCAAAGGGGACTCTGAGGAAGTGTTGGTGGGGGCTGGGGAAGGTTTTAAAGCTATGACTTTGGTAAGCACCCAAGTGAGCTGTAACAAGGCATTCAAAGGGGAGATTCTGCAGCATCAAAGGATAATTCTCTAACAGAGGTTGGCATTTTTCAATCTAAATTCTGAGGCTGAGGGCCAGAAACCAGATCCAAAAAGCCACCTTCACAACCGCTTAAAAAAGGGTGACTGCCATTCGGCCCATGATGCTAAGAAGCCTTTGGTGGTGTAATATGAACAAGGAAAAAAAAATACACAAACCACGGAACACCATTAAAACTCAAAAAGGCATGACTTCATTTAAAAAAGTATTTAGAACACATAAAACAAGGCAACATTTATTCTTTTTTCTCGTCCTCTGGTATGGGATCTGTAGGCGGCTCCTCCACCGTTGCACTGTTGCTCTCCGAGCCAGTGTTACTGTCACTGGTTCCTTCCTCAGCCATACTGTCAACCCCATCCTGACCACTCTCCTTATCCTCCGGAGTCGATGTGCCTTCATCACCATTCTGTTGGCTTTCTGCTGTTTCTTCTAGATGGGCCTCCTCTGTAAGCACATATGTTTACTGTCAGTTCCAGGACAAAAATAAACTCTTCTAGTGACTCCAGCTCTCTAGAGCGGCACTGGCCAGGGAGACAGCCACCAGCCCTTCTACATCTTCCAACAATGTCTAGACTCAGAATCTAATTTTTCTTCATAAACACTTGATCTTCTAAATGTAAATATTTAAAAATCTAAATATGAACCAAGTATATAATGCAAAATTATTTCTTGTGAAAAATTAAGAGCATGAAGTTTCTTACTGAAAAGTCACAATTTTCTTAAACTAAGAATAAAAAAATCTGAGTATTTTTCACTGAAGACGTAAAGGTCTTAAAAATAAGACACTCAATACACAGATGACAAAATAGAGGTAGGGAATGAGTATGCTGTCTGGTTGTAAAACGAACAATGACCCATAACTTTAATTTTCAACCTCTTGCTTTAACCACAGATGCACATGCAAATGTATATGATCTAAATTTGTTAAGATAAAAATCATGTTCATTAAAGAAGAAAACACAAAACCCAGAGATTCAGATAATGAAACTTAGAATTTGACTATCTGAAATGTTAATCTGCTGAATTAAATTCTGTAGAACTATCTGGTAGAGATATTTACATTCTATACAAATCTGAGTCTGCACTGCTATCATACTTATTCTAACTGCTGTCCAGGAAGTCCCTGGCTACTACTCATGACTACTTTTAGTTCTATTCTGTTTACACAGTTAACTGGGCAGGATCTAAACTGTGCCAGAAGTTAAAAGTGACCTCAAAATTTCAAAGTCCTAATTGATTTCATGAGCACTGTACACAAGTTACATGCTAACTTTTGCTTTGAGGGAATCTTTCAATCAGGAAAATCAGCAAACCTAGAATTTAAAATTTTCTAGGATTTGTCTATAAAACAAACTCATACTCATTACCACAGAGTTGGAACCAACTTAAAGGTGACCGTTCAGTGAGTTTTTAGAGGCTGTAAATGGCTCAGGAGCAGACTGTCATTTTTTTCTTGTGGAGTAGCTGGTGGATCTGAATGGTGACTCTTTGAGCCCAACAGAGCTCCTTTTTCTGTAAAAGACTAGACAATACTATTTTAGGCTGTGTGGGTCAGATTGTCTCTGTTCCAATTATTCACCTGTACCTACTGCTGTAGCCTAAAAACAGACACAGAAAGTGTGTACAAAAATAGGCATGGCTGTTTTACTAAGTGAGCTCTGATGGCTTAGCAGTAAGGAGTTACGCTGATGACTCAAACTCAGTTTGAATCCATCAGCTGCTCTACAGGAAAAAGATGGGCAATCCTCTTACACGATTTACTGCCTCTGAAAACCTGCTGGAGAGTAAGTTATAAGTCAATTCAGACTCCATGGTACAAAACATTTTCCAATAAAACTTTACTTATAACAACAAGTGTATAAGAAGGGTGCGAACCCTGTTCTAAGACACCAAAGATGATCAGTCTTATGAATAATGACTGTATCTTGTTTAAATAAAATTAGCAATTAAAATATTCAGTGTCAAACTTGACATACTTAATGTTTTTTACTAATTTTTAACTTATAGTCTTAAAGGCTGATATAGAATACTAATAAATGAGAAAATGGGGACAAAATAATACCCAAAGTCATAATGTGAACAAGTAGTGAACCACTATCACCTAGATCTGCCTGACTCCTGAGCTGTTTGTTACACCTTTACATTCTCAAGGCAGAAAATGGCACAAACCAGTCTGGAAAAAAAATTAGACCTCAAACTGCGAGGCCAAAAACAACATTATCATTGCTACTGTGTACTAAGGTTTTAACGGAACCCTTTATAGAAGGGAGCTCTGCTGGCCTGGTGGTTAAGAAACTGTGCTGCAATCCCAAAAGGAATGTGGTCTGAGTCCACCAGTTGCTCTGAAGAAGAGAAATGGATAATCTTTTCCAGTGCGATTTACTGCCTCTGAAAACCCGCTGGAGGATCAGCTACGGGTTGGTTCCAACTTGACAGCACAAAACACCATCACCATTATGGATAGATTACTATTTCAAGCAAAGTGGAGAGGACATGTAGAGTTTAACTCAAGAGGCAAGGTATTATAATGCCCTCTGAAAAGCATTTTAAAAACAACCACCACAGAGTCCAATTTACAAACCGCTTTCCAGCCCTTGACATTTACTCTGGGGTCAGACAGTAGGCTACCTGTCTCCATTGGAATGCTCTCGTCGTCTTTCTTTTCCTCGGCTTTATTAGCGGCTTGTTCTTCCTCAGGAACAATGCTGCTCTGACTGCGTTCAGCCTGCTCTGCTGCCTCTTTCTCCCTTTCCTCCTGCCTTTTGCGGGCTTGTTCCTCTGCCTGTGCAATTTCAGCTGCGATTTTCTCCATGTCCACTTCTACCTTCAAACCGCACAACTGGTAGTCAGGAAAAAAGAAAACCTTAATAATGTTCTTCTAAAACACAAGGAAAGGATAAAACTGATAAGTGGGACCTTCTAAAGATTAAATCCCTGTACACATCAAACACTTTCTAACACAGTGGAAAAAAAACCCCTACTGACTGGGAAAACACATTTGGCAATACCATCTCAGACTAGGGTCTCATACCAAAGTTTACAGAATCCTATAGGGTCTTCACAAGAAAAAACACTGAGAACACAATCACAAAGTGGGCAAAGATGGCCAACAGACACATGAAGAAATGCTCAAAATTATTGGCAACAAGAGAGATGTAAATCAAAACCACAATGAGATACTATTTTACCCCAGTAGCAGTGGCAAAGTTTAACAGGACAGCAAGTAATAAATGTTGGAAAGGATGTGGAGAAATGTGTACTCTCAAACACTGTTGGTGGGATTATAAAATGGTACTGGAAGGCAGTTTCATGTTTCCTCAAAAAGCTGAATATAGAAATTCCATATGACCCAGCTATTCCACTGTTAGGAATAAACCCTGAGAATATTAGAACTGAGATAAAAATGGAGATTTGTACACCAATGTTCATAGCAATATCATTCACCATCATAAGAACATGGAAACGGCCCAAATGTCCAACTGCAACTGAACGGATTGAGAAATTATGGTATATTCACACAACTGAATATTATGCAGCACTCAGGGGCAAGATTTAAAAAATTACTACATAACTTGTGAGAGATGGCAGAGCATTATATTGAACGCACTAACTCAGTCTCATAAGGACAAATACTGCATAAGATCATAATTGTAGAACTAGAAAGGTAACTCGTAAAACATGTGTGAGGATCCAAGGAGGGGAGGGGGGGAGCTGAGGGGTGAGGATGCGCAGAGGGTAAATCACAGGGTCAGACAATTTGGTGGGTGGAGGGAGGGGTGGATAAAAGAAATGGGAAAGATCCAGTGGGATCTCGAAAAATGGCAAGGGTGGGCATAGTTCAATGTTGGTTCATTTTTTATAAAATATAATAAATGGCAATGGTTGTATGAAACACAATGTGAATGAAGGATAGTGTGAAACACAATGCATACGAACTTTGTAAGCAAACTAAAATATTATAAAAATTAAAAAAAAAAATCCCAATAGTAAAAAAAACTGAGTTTCTTCTATACAAATTATATGTAAGTGGGAGGGAAAAAAATGTGACTGTACATTTTTTCTGAAGTTCCTGTGTCTATGTAACCATCAATCTGACAGAAAATGCTGTCAGTAACCTCAGCAGCCATGTACATTAAGAGCAAAAAAACAACAGCCATGATACATATTGAAAATTCTGGAATATGGCTTTCATCTTCTATTTCAGGGGATCAAATACTAGATTTGTTTTGATATGGACTGCAAACTGTGAAATACATCTAATGGGGAAAAAATCTGATAAACAAATCTCCCTAAAATGAAAACAATTCATGATTGCATGGGAGTTGAAAGCACCGAGGGCTACAGAGTCTACAGGACCAGTACAAATGTGTATACTCTGTGATATTTTTCTTCTCTAGGGAAAAAATGGGAATAATTTTACAAAGATCTTACAGCTTATAGCAAATTTAACCTCATCTCAAAGTAAAAAGCATTCTATTCAAACGTCATTTTGGAAAAAGCAGCGAATGCAATGACAAAAGCCAAGTTAACATATTCAGCTGATACCCTTTTGAGTTCATTGTTAAAGGAATCTGTGCTTTCCAGGAATTTCCGTTTCTTTTCCTGGTGTCGCTCCTCTATTTGAAGAAGTTCAGCTTCTAGTTTTCGCTGTAAAATATAAAAATACATGTTAAGGCTTTATAATCACTGAGTTAATTTCATGCACATGGCAAACACTGAAAACAAGCCTCATTTTTCCGTACTGTATACGGCAAAAGACTTTTCTGGGTGGGGGGAGGGTGCTAACTTTATTTGTCCAGAGACAAGCTTCTAAACTTTTATTAATCTTCCCCCTCCCTAACATTTTTAATTTGATAAATAGATACACAATACCAAAGAATAGTTTTTAATTGAAATTATTATACGGTGTAACTAGCTAAGATTTTTAAAACATAGAGTGTAGGCAAGAAGAATGAGTTTAAATAAAAAATCTTAAGGTAACATTTCTTAACAAATACTGAAATTTAAGGTGCTACATTACAATTTTTAATGACAAAGTTATTATCAATGGGAGATGATAAAGCTCTGGGAAAGGTATACTCCCTTAAAGATTTTCTCTGAATCAGAAACAGGTTAGGCTCACCACAGAAATATTTAACATGCACATTCACGCACGGGGCACAATCTGGTGACCCAGGAACTATGGCACGGCCCTATTTTACCACAATCAACGTTTCGTATCTTTACCTGATGAACCATTAAGGACTGGACCTGTCGTTTGAGGACCTGCATTCTAGCCGTTGTGACCACTGACCGGACGTCCGGCACCACACTCTCACTGAGGATTTCACTGATGAGGCGGTGGTTTCTCTGGAAACGGGCGGTGGCTGTGTGCTTCATTGAAAAGCCATCATCATAATCTGGAATAAACCAGGTATTCTGGAAATGAGGTCACTAGGTATGATGAACAGGAAAGTGTAAGAATGTTAACAATTACCAAGGAGCTGTAGCCCTCACTGGCCTAACATGTGGGCTTGAGGAGCATCATAGGAGCCCTGGGGCTATCACCCAATCAGTGTTCTCCACAGGCCAAACGCACTATGTTCATTGGTTAAGATACTGGTTTCAGGGGAAAAAACAAAACAAAAAAACGCCTTTAAATGAAGATGAGCATTTCAGAAGGACTTGGCTGAAAATACAAATGAAATACAATCTTGTATTTTTTGGCTTGGAAATGAATCTGAAGAATGCACATAATAGCTGCAAGTACAATTTTGTCAACTGTTTCATTCTCTTGGCAATGACTTAAGAACTGACAAATAAATACAAACTCAATGGTGTCCTGCCACTAAATATTAAGGTAATGAAAATGCCCATTTGTAAACTTCTCACTGCAGAGGAAATATCTCTTAGCAATATTCACTTTCTCTAATGTCTTAGTGGTAAGATGTGCTGTCAACCTAAAGGCACAAGGTTCGAATCCACCAGCTACTCTGGGGAAGAAAGATGAGCAATCTCCTCCTGTGTGATTTATTGCCTTTGAAAACTGGCTGGAAGGTCAGTTATGAGTTAGTTTAAACCTGACAGTAACTAGCAACAGGTGTATACATTCCACCAAATTAAAAAAAAAAAAATTACTAAGGCTCAAAAGTTATTTTATAGGAAAGTAATTTTGATTCCAGAATTTATCAATCCACTTGCCACCAAATTTCATATAACTATCAGAAAGTAAAGGTGTTACCTTGTTTTCTTACACCAAAGTTTACATACACAGTTTGTAACTGATCTACAATATGTGGATCTGATTAACATGCTTATTTTAAACAGCAAATGAGAGGAAGGCAATGAAGGAGGTAGATGGACACAGTGACGGCAACAATGGGCTTGGGCACGGCGCAGATTCTGAGGATGCAAGCCAGGGCAAGGTTCTGATCTGCTGTTAATGCTATTATGTGTCATCAAACCGGAACAAATCATAGCTGACCCTCCAATGTATTTTCAGAGGCTGTAAACTGCATGGGAGTAGACTGCCCCTCTCTCTCAAGGAGCAGCCGGTAGTTTCAAACTGGCTGCTTTTGGGTTGGCAGCTCAACTCTTTACCACTAAGCCATGAGAGTTCCCTAACATCATATCACAGTGTTTCTGTAATCTCAGTCTCTACTCTATGCCCTTCACACCAAGGCTTAGAGCCTCTGAAAAACTGCTGGAGCTCTGACTTGATGGTACATAACGGTGCCAACAACAATATTAAAACAAAATTTTTTCTTCTACATCTCACCTAAATATCTTGGCGCTGCCTTCAGCCTCTAAGGTGAAGGCACCATGCCCCTCAGGAACCCTGGTCCACAGGCCTATACCGTGCTGCTCTGCCAGCGTTCAGCACCTCCCTTAGTTGTTTCCAAAATTGCTCATTAGCACAAAATAAGGCGGCTATAAATTGCTGGCCGATCATCTTGCTTCATTTTGTATAATCTCCTAGGATATATACTTGCACAATTAAAATTATTTGGGATAGGGGGGGAAAAAGAAATCTTTTTAAGGGTTGCTCACATTCTTATTTAAAGTTATCTATGGTACATTTATTTGTGTTATCACCATCTCTTTTAGATTTTGTTTTTTCTGTTTTCATTTATATAGGAAGTTTTCCCTTCCTTGGTCTTTTATGTGTTTTAATAGGTTTTCTGCTTGTATTTTCTACTTATTAACCAGCTCTTTATTCATCTTGTGAATATTCTCTCCAGCATGCCATTTAAAAAAATAAAAAGGGAAAAAGTCTTCATTGTCTTGTGTGGAGGATGACAAGTATCTTGTCATGCTTCTAACAGAAGTTGGCAGCTACTGTGTTTGTGGAGATGCTACGTTTCTCATGGCTTTACTGTGCATTTCCACCGCTCAACATTTCCTTTTAGTTCTGAGGAATAAAGACCAAGGTTTAACTTTGGCATCGTAATTATTTGTCCTTTCTTCCCAAGATCTTTAAAATCACTCTAATAAAAAAACTAAGAAAAAGTTTACCCTCAGAATCACTCTTGGGTGGCTACCTGGGAAATGAAAAGAGGAAGAGGGAAGTCTAAGAAACAGATGGTAGGTGAAGGGAAAGGCAGTATTTAATAAGGTTTGATTATTGTTGTTGTGTATTGTTGAGTCAGGATCTACTCGTAGCTGACTCTTCAGCTTTGAGGTAATAAATTGCATGGGAATTGACTATCTAGTTTTCTCCCACACAGCAGCTGGTGGATTTGAACTGCATTCCTTTGGGCTGACTGCACAACTCCTTACCACGAGGCTACCAGAGCTCCCTAGGCTTGATTAGACACTGTACTCAAGTAATTACATTATCAATTATAATTACTGTTAGAAAATGTCTATAAAAAGTTGAATGAAAAATCAATGATTTAGAAAATGTCTATGACTAGTTGAATGAAAAATCGATTTGTAAACTTTTATTCAAATTAATCAATCATAAATGTTATAAAAGGTCTATGATTAAATGAATAAAAAAATCAGAGTAACTTGTAAACTTTCATTCAAATAAAAAAAATCCTTTCTGAAATTTTAAAACATTACAAACCAAAAATGTAATAAATTTCAGGCAGAGAAGAGAAATACTTGAGGATAACCTGAGTGAATCTCTTTAGCTTCTGTTATCTCTTACATTATTAAAGTTTCTTTTTACTTATGGCTCCTATGCTGTTAGCTTTTGCCTTTTCTTACAACGACCCCTACTGTCACAATTATTTACAGACAGTATCTTCTTTTTTTAGTTCTGCAGATTTACTGATATCAGTCAACTCATTTCTTATTTCGTTATAATTTAGGTTTGCTACCACTGCTGATTCTGCTTAACATTAAATATTGATTCTATTCTGTATTCTATTCTCTGTATTTATTAGTATTACACTTTACTTTCTGTACTTGTATTACCCTAGTTCATTATTTTAGGTGGTGGCCTAGAAGCTGCGCTGCAATCCTAAAGGGAGGCTGTTCAAATCCACCAGCTACTCCACAGGAGAAGGATGAGGAATCTCCTGTGCAATGAACTTGAAAGCCTCTTAAAACTCGCTGGAGGTTTCTGGTAATTTTCACAGAAAGCATAAAGGAATGTCCTTTTTCTTTACCATCTGGATCTTCAGCAGGCTGAATACTCATGTACGGCTCTCCTTTCTCCATGCGAGACTGCCTCTGTCGACTTTCTTCTTCTAAAGCAGCTTCTGCACGACTTTTTGCATTTATGTAAGCAAGGTATGCGGGAGAATTATGATAGGCCTTCATAGATTCATTATATTCTATCTGAAATGAAAACATTTTTCAGTTTACAATTAACATTTTGCAGGTTGTATAAGGTATTATATCATTGACTATCAAACTCCGATGAAAGCATGGCATTGTGATAATGAATCTCCTTCTTCACAGACAAGGATTTTGAGAGAAATTTGACCATGAGATTTGACCAAGGCAGGGAGAACCTCAATCTGGTTTAGCTGTCTGGTCAAATCTTTTATAAGTAACAAGCCATCATTATGCATGTTACACTGTGTCCAATCCATTGCTGCGTCCAACATACCTTTTCTGCTTCGTATTCGTTTAAATACTCTTGTTTTTCTTCATCAGTGAGATCTCGCCACATGCCACCAATAATCTTGCCAATCTCCCACAACTTTAGGTCAGGGTTGGAAGCCTTAACTTGGTCCCAGACCTTCAAAATGGAATAGATGAAATGTCAACGCTGATGCTTACAATTGATGATCTTTAAAGACTTATGAAAGCTTCCATCATAAACAAAGCTGAGACAGCAGTATAATGAATCTCTATGTACCTATCATCCTACTTCAACAAGTGTTAACATCTGGAGAGGTGTTATTTCATCTACACTTACACTTGATTATTTTGAAACATATCTCAGCCATTAGTGGAATAGATAATTCATGTTAATAGTCAAGAACACCTCCAATCACTGTAAAATCTTAAGATAATGTGGAAGGAAAGTAGCTAACTTACATAATACAAGACCATATTGTCAAATACAATAAATATCCCCCCAAATTTAAAGCAGTTTAAACAATAGTTAAAGTACATGCTGTCTTTAAATATAGTGAATATACACAAATACATATTTATAAGTCAACTATGTAGTCCAATTCTACATAATATAGTCTAGTTTTATATATGTATCTATATTATATCTGGAAAGCCCCGGGAAATACAGAGAAAATAAAATCCTGTAAGTTTACTATTCATTGAAAAACACTGCCATGCTTTTTTCTTCAAACATGATTACTGTTATAAGTGTACTAATAGATATAGTCCTGTATCTCCTTTTTCAATGAACATTTTTCTCAGACTATTAAATATTCTCTAAAAGACAGTTCCTTAGTAGCTATATACTTCTGTTGAAGGATTCTGTGAGTTTAGGTAATCATTTTATCTTGTTAAGATTTTATATCTATAATTTTTGAAATCAGAATTTATTCTTCTAAAAATGCCAATTCTTTATCCTTTATCCTCTGAAGACATTTACAAAAGCTGGCTTAGGCAATCTGAAATTTGATGCAGAGAAAGAAGAGGCCCTCGCGTCGTCTGGGGACCAGATGCCTACCTTTCTGCTGTACCTCATGTAGGGCATCAGCGGCTTATCTGGTGGCTTTGGGGGTTTTGGAATCGTAATACCAGAGGATGCCTACAAAAGAGTTAAATACATACATTATTCAATTGCAAAGAGTTCACCAGTAAACTGAAAAGAGAGTCCCTTAAAATCTCTACTGCGCCTTTCTTCTACTCGTCCATGGATACAAGATTCCTATATTTCCTCCACTGAAAATAGCTATCATTGAAAATTCAGAAATGTTCACATCAAAAGAAAACAAAAAGAAAATGACTGTCAGTACAAAATTTTTAAATGTTTTACTGAGCAGCTTATTGCCACTGCTTTGACAACCTGGCTGTAAGAACAAATAAAACATTACAACAATAATCCATACATAGAAAATATATGGTTATATATCAAACACTTGACATTTAGAGTATTTCCTGGCAGCCTTTGTTTTACTTAATTTCCTACTACACATACAGTCAACACTTGATTATCTGCACAACAATGGGTTCAAACACACCCATGGCTGTCAGGATGGTGTGGGAGGGGGCAGCGCTTCCTTCTGTGGTACACCAAAGGGACTCAACAGCTGCTGCACCAGAGCTTGAACTTTGTTAACACAATCAAGTCGTCTACAGGGGGCTTAGGATATTTCTGTACAATTCAAGCAATTACTTTCAAATAAACAACAAAAAACTACCTTCCAGATTAAAAAATGAAAACAAAAATCACTTTATCAAGACAAGGGACTTTATTTCGTTTAAATTCTCCATACATGTCTAGTAGTTTTCTTGTAAAGGGGATCAAGAAAGAGGAAACCAAATTCAGACTTTTCTCTGCCTTAAGTCCCAATCACAGCACAGTTTACCAGAAATAGCCAGAAGATACAGGGCCTGATTAAGACTTTTTAGGTCTTAATGAGATGCACTGATACAGTATTTGCAACACTGGGCATAAGCACAAAAGAGAATGAGAAGATGATTCAGGAAAATGCGGAAGAAAGAAACAGGAAGGGAACAGAAAGACAAGAGACTCGTTTATTTTTATGTGTTAGTATCTAGGTAAGACATTCCTCATAGTTTCCAGTAGGAGCTCATGTAACTCTAATTTAAGAGTACCTGTTTCTGAAAGTCTAATCTCACTTTAACAAAGAGGAATTAGAGATGACAAAGGACCCAGACTACAAAAACCAAAACCATCAACCCAAGGCTGAATCACACTTTATTTCCTCAAAATTGTCAGGAGGCCCTCAATAATGACTCTTTAGTATGAGTTGCAGGTGTCTCGATGGCACATAACAACAACAACAACAACAACAACAACAACATTATGCTGTGGCAAGATGCCAGGGATACCTCTCCATTTTAGCCTGGGGCCCCATTTTTCTTCCAAGGACTCAGGAAATTAGCCCATCCTGTGTCCTTTTCTACTGGGATCATGCACTCTCGTACCATATCTCATCAAGAGACCACTATTGGACAGACCCTGGATTTAGCCCCCGGTGGACAGAAATTGGCAGCAATAGTAAGTAGTGTGAGCGGCCAGTAAGGGGAGAGCTGTGTAACAGTTTCTCAAAGGGCAAGGGAACGTTCCCAAGGCCAACAGTATGTCATGAATTCAGAGAGAAGAGATACACAGAAATCAGTAACTGGTATCTAGCACAAATTTTAGCATTTCATCAAGTGGGTTACAAGTACATCTAAAGCTGTGCCAATAGCTGAAGATAGATCACTGCTAACTTTTTTTAAAGAGTAAAGAATTCTAAAATATCTATAGTTTCATGAATGAACTAAAAAACTTTAACGGAAAATATAGTACTTGCTTTGATTTTTTTTTTCAAATGAAGATTTCCTTTTATTTTAAAAGAAGGGCATTTTAGGATAGCAATGAATTAGCTTATTTCCTTCTCCCTTTCTTCTGAAAGAAGGTACATAAATCATCCACATATTGAGGTCTTGTTTTCACAACACTGACCAATCAATATATTAAAAAAACAATCTTAAACAGTCGCAACAACTACGTGACATTCCAGTCACTTTGGGAGATACTAAAGATTCAGGTCTTTAAACAACCACTTTTTTTTCATTGTCTCAGCCAAACATCTTTCTAAAATGTCATATGCATCTCTCCACTCTTAAAAATTGCTACAATCCTGGGGTTTCAAAAACTGTTGGTCCTTTTTTTACTAATGGTTCAGTGTCAAATTTCTTGGATGTTTGCCTTTTTAGCTTGTTCTTTATTGGTGTTAATGATGCTGACAGGGATGAGGAAACTAGGCTCTGCCACAGTAACCCTCCCATTTCCCACCTTTCTGCTTCCAATCTGCATGAGATGGCAATCTGTCAAAACGCTGTTTACATAATAGTAAGGAATTAGGAATTAACTACAAATAAAATGTATGATTTTGTGAGATTTATCTCATCTACATTGTTTCCTTTCCAATCCTTAGCTTTCAAAAGTTCTTCCACCCTAAGGTATATTTCCACTCAAGCAGAGAAAAACATGCTGTTTCTAACATTTTTGTCTCAATCTGTTTTCACATCTTGTACTTAAGAGAATGCTAACCATCACTTGGATTAAGAACTGATTAGAACTGAATTCCATCTCAGAGGTATCATAAAACTTCAAAAGGGCTCAAGATGGTCCATAAAGTGTTTGGTGTTTGAAGATTATCCAAGTGCACTAGTTATCAAAGAAACTCTATATTCTACGTAATCTGCAGAAAGCCCTCTACTTCACAGAATTATCTATTCAAATCACTGGGTAAGGCAAGATTTGCAAATACCAGGCAGGAAGGGGCAAGGGTGGGGGAAGACAGGGATTACCTTAAAATACTTTATGATCAGAGCATAATCAATGGCATCTAATAATAAAAAACCAGAAATGAAATATGAGAAAGTAGGCATACTAATTTTCTTAGAGATTGATTTAATGACCTAAAAGGAAGGTCACTGAAATATATTTTAAGATTAAAGGATAAAGGACAAGCTAAAAAGTTCTACATTATTAAAGGCCCTTCAAGTATGAAGTCTAAATCGTGATTTCAGTATACTAAAATGTGGTGTTAAGGGGACTATACAAAGGAAATAACAAAAATCCAAAGTATCAAATTGTCCATTCCTAACCATGCTTCAGAAGCTGGCACCAACTCCAAATACTAGGCTCTAGCATCCCTGAGAAGAATGGTAAGAACAAGACCTGACCAAGCAAGACAAGCCTCCAAGAAGTACCCTTTTCTTTTCCTAGTTAAGTCTATGAGCTGACTTGTAGCTGACTCTTAAATCTAAGTCACCACTTAAAGATCTCACTTTATCAACAGATACATCCAAGAACAAAATGTTTACAACAAAGTCAATAAATTTTCTAATATTACAGGTACTGCCATTTCTATGCCATTAACATAGATAATCAAGAGCTGACTGTATAGAACTATTAATTATAATTTATGAATAATTTTCTGCATTAACACGATCTAAAATAAATTCTTCTGCTTGTTTAAATGAAAACAATCTTTATTATTTGATAACTTTGTCACCCGTTACAATAGTGAAACAACACGGTTAGGCCAGGGAAAAAACACGTATTGATGCACATAAAAACCGTATGCATTATGAAATGCATACATACACACACTGTCAGAATTCTTTTGCGATACCATGAAATATGCATGGCACATAAAACTTGATATGCTTATGAAGTACAAATTATGTAAAACAATGAAAAATTTAGACGAACAAACCCTATCGAGCTAAGCAATATGCTTACCAAGATAGACATACAGTTTGATAATTACACGTTATCTGCTCGAATATTACTACAGGGTGAGAGGGCCTCTTCAAAGTTGCATTAATTGAAAGCATTTCTTGTCAACAAATATAGCAAATGGGAACCAGGTATTAAAATGTTTATAGCTATTCTGGGGTGTATACATTTCTCACCAATACCACATTCCAATGCATGTAGGTACTTGGATTTTTAAAACATTTGCTTTTGGTAACGGTTTTTTAAAAGAGCAAGGTTCTTTTGCTTCTTTGAAATCTAAACTTCTCTGAATGACATTCACAAAATTTCTAAAAAGTTTGAAAGGGTATCATTCAATTTTGACACCTTACACTGAACATTTCTATGACATATTTGAAGTTTAAAAAATTATAAACCTTGTCCTGTGAACCAGAAATGCACTTCTACTTATAAATCTAAACTGGCACTTTCAGGCTAATTTCATTCTAAAATGACAACAAAAAAGTTGTTTGGGGTTTTTTCTTCACTGCAGGGAAATTAATCTCAAAAGGTCAGCTATCAAATCCAAACAGTAAATAATTACGAGCAGCAGTTTAAATTAAAGCTTCTGGTAAGGCCAGTTAAAAGCTGTCCAGCCTTGAAAAAAGCCAGGTCTGTAAGCACGGTATAGTTTACCAATCTGAGTTCCTTCACCTAATGCCAATTACCTTAGAGAAATGAGATACTCTTCACGTCAAAAGGGATATTTTAAAAAAGAAATTCTAGTTTTGTCTACATAATAAATAAGCATCAAGTGTCCAAGATTTTAATCCTACCAACCACCAAACAGAATGGATTTTTCTTTTGATCCACAGACACATCCAGATTGCAAATTCTTTTCTTTTCCCTGTTTAAGACTGCACAACAAATATTTAAAATAGTTGTAAATCCAGATTTATTATTTTTTTTTAATTTAATGGTTGTGCTTATGATTCAAAAAGACCTGACTGAAGCCATTTCTAGCCAATTCCAGTTGTTTGCCGGATACTGTTAATAGTTGATTCTCCTACCGTGACCCGGCTGTTGGTGCCTGGGTTCCCTCCCAGCCTGTAGTTGTTGTAGGCGAGATGACTGTATGGATTGTATCCCACAAACCCTGGTGTGCTGGGCATTTGCTGATGGAAACAAATGAGACAAAAACACGAATGAGAAATGAGCTCAAACGAGGAAAACATAGAAATGAAAAATGATCTGCATATGGCATGCAAAAGCAACCTGAACTCAAACAAGCAATGATGTGTTGTAATTGTTTTTTCTTTCACTGAGAAAATTTTTTTCGCTGAAAATTAACCTGTCTAAAAGTGTTTGCTTTTATTCTTCTACAGGGGGAGGTGTGTTTGAATGAATATGAATGTATGTGGCTTGTGTTTTGGGAAAAGCAATACACTGAAATGTCTCAAACATTCAGGATTACTTTACGATCCACAGCTTAACTCAGCAATATATGACGGTTGAGAGAGGAAGGCTTGAAATGCGATAAACTACAAGTCTGAAACAATTTACATGCAAAACAAAACACAGCTTATTTGACAGTTATGTAGATGCCACCAATGTATTCATCTAGTAAAAACAAAAACAAGGAATGGATCTGCTTTCGAGACAGTTGTATATAATATCTTGTGAAAAATGAGAAGAGACTCAAATCAGGAAACCAGAAGTTGTCAATAGAAAAGAACATATGTTGGATTCATGAATGTCACATACATGATTTCAAAACAAGGACTTGTAAGAAATGCATGGATTTCATTCTGGGGTGCTATCTGATCTTTTTAACCCAGTGACTACTTTACAGGCTTTTCTCTTCCATCTCTTCTTTGATCCATCTTCCATAGCTCAATTATGAACATTTTTTTAATCTTAATGTGAGCTATTTTTCAAGTTGACATACTTGAACTTTCCTTTTCCATCTAGTTTCAGGATAGTCCTTTCAAAACACACTGCTCACTGCAGCAACGAAATTCTCGGGTTTTGTGAAGGAAGTGTTGATGTGATCATAAATGGGCTCTTATATAGCAGTGCCCTCATGGTTAATACACTGACATCCAATGTTCATGAGAATCAAGGCAGGTAATACATAAAAACTATGCAGCAGAGAGACCAAAGTAGGTTATTTCACCTATTGAGACTCAATACAAAGAGTGACAGCAATTTCATTTTAACATGCAATTAACAGTATCAGTCCTAAATTGTATAACTTGGTATGACTTAACAACACATCCCAGCTATATTGTAATTGCTACAAAATAAACACAATATTCTAAAACATGCTGCTGCACAGTCTTAGCGTCCAAAAGACAGATATTCAAGCAGGTATTATAATCTATAGTCTTTAGAAGAAGAGAATGACTGATAAATTTCTAGTCTATATAATTATGAAAGACGCAAATTAAGCATATTTAAGTAAAACACAGATGAGATATCATAGGCACAAAAATATATATTACTGAGAATGGTCCATTTGGGTGATAGTGCTGATGGTGGTGGTGGTGATGATAGTAGTGGAAGAAGTAATGGGGGGGGGAAGAGAATAATTCATTTAATATCCATTCTGTTAGATGTCCTAATCCCTACGCTTTTGTATTCTGTGTCAATGTGAAAGGGTAACAGTACAGAAAAAGAACTAATGGCAAAAAGATCTTTTTGTAAATATAAGACTAAGGGGGATACTTGGTTTTTGAGTTGTTTTAGTCTCAAAAAGTCACATATATCCTCAAGGTATTAGACATTGTCAAAGAGGAAGTATTTACATCCAAAGGGCACCTTCAAAGGTTGTGTAAACATTAAGGATCACAGTTTAGCAATTATAAGGCAGTAATGTAAGAAAAATATGTGAGGGTACTGAAAAAGAAAAAAAAGGAAACTAAAGCATTACAATTATACCATTTTAAAAAACTGAAGTACATGGTTAGTCTTTGAGGTCAGGAATCTCAATTGTTCAACTCCACCTGTGTAGCCACTAGGGTGGTATGGAGATGATCATAAGAAATGGTCTGTGATTTAAGAAAAAAAATCAAACCAAAACAACCAAACACTGGACTTTAATCCCTACTGGAACAAACTTTAGAGACTACATAGAATATAAAATGAACTGAGAACATGTGATACAGTATCCTGTTATGAAACATCTTATTGAGGAAAAAGAAAATTGCTGATAAAGGTAACTAAAATATACATCTGAGGGTTAGTAAATAAGAGGAGCTGTTTAGTCAAAAAAAAGAAAAATACAGAGGGACCTAAGTGGTAGTGAAAAGCATACTAGGCTGAGATTTCGGTGGTCAGGGATGCAGAAGGAAGCTAGCTGCTGTTAAAGAAGCTGTTTTGCAGGATATGGCCAATATTAATAGTGTTTTGTTGTTGTTTTTGAAGAAATTTAAAGAAAACCAAAACCAAAAAAACACTAAAACCCAATTTATTTCATCAAGGCCTAAAGAGTTAATTTTATATCTGTTTCGTAGACTGGACAATTATTTTACATGCTGTTTAAAGTAGGGCCAGGGCTTGCTGGGTGAAAAAAAAACTAGCTCAAGTATATTAAGACACTCTCAAATGAAAAAAAAATTATTTAGAGTGAAATAAAATTCAATAGCAAGCTCAGTCCCAAAGATACTAAAATTCTTACTTGAACAGCTTGAAAATAAAGGCTTACAGTGAGTGTATACTGTAACTAGATGTTTTATTGTTTAATACAAAAACTATATAGCCAAAAAAGGAGAGAAAATTGTAACCAGTTGAAGGTTAGGGGTTTTGGTAAAAAAAAAAAAAAAAAAAAAGGCCAGAATGAGCATTCACTCAATATCAACTTAATCAAAGAATTAAAAATGATTAATGAGAGAAGTCTTAAATTTGTCACTTATTTCCCATTAAAAACAAAAACTGAGCACAGGATATCAGAATTTCAGCAGTATGTTTCTTTGAATGTTGGGGTTGGTTCAAGGTAAGATGCAAAGAGTGATTTTATTTAGTAGGAGGTGCTGGTTTTTAGCTGACTTTTTCATATTGGTGTGTTGATTGAGTGACTGTCACTGGAAGACATCTGGGTTTCTGTATCAAGGCCAGACTTGGCTATTACATTAACAAGAAAATTAAAACTTACTGTTGCAGGAGCTGGGGTGGGAGGTGGGGCATAAGATGGTCTTTCTGTTTGAAAGAAAATAAATAACTTCTTGTAAACAACTGAGATATAATACTATGCAACAAAACTACCAATGGTCCTGTTTTGAAGAAAAAAAAAATGAGCGTATTTTGGAATTCCCATTTGCTAGGGCATTAGTCTCTTATTAACAAAGATTGAGAAATATAAAAAAATGAAACTTACTTGACATTTTGGAAGATTTAGGTTCTCAGTTCCTTAAGAATGAATCTGAGACACTAAAATAAAAAAAGGAAAAAAAGGAAAAAAAAAGAGAATCAAAACTCAGCAAGCATATGATGTTTTCCTAGAGAATAGGGTAGTTCAACTGGTATTTGTAGGTAAAGTAAGTTTACATTATCTTGTATTAATCAAGTCTGTGTATTATTTTCACTACTTACTGAAGATCATTTATTTGGTGGATTAGAGTTAAATGACTAAAGAAAATCACTGGGGCTATTAATATTAGACAAGTACTTTCAGGATTTTTAAAAAATTACATTGAATCATCTTTTTGTTAAAAATATTTAATCAAACTGATAAAAAGTTAATGACAATAGAGCTGATGTATTATCTGGGTTCACCCAACAAAGCCCACCAGATACTGACAGCGTCCTCATTGGCAGGCTCTACTTTTGGTACTATGGTAACAACTTCTATTAAAATAGTGCATTTTATTCCTGGATGCTGTGCAAAAGGGAATTGGTATGATAATAAGCCATAACAAGTCTCTTCTGGTAACAAATTAGTTTTATAACTTTAAGAGCTTATAAATGATAAGCTCTGTAATTTATCTGGGAATAAATTTAGAGAGTCTATCTCAGAAGCTTCAAATTTATCTCCTCAATGCAGCTTTCCTTATAAGTGACCTGGGTAGAAGAAATTGCCCCCTTATCTGTGATGCTGAGCAATTTACATAAACCTATGAGATTATATCTTACTTTTTACCTGTCAGGATGACTGCTGCTGGGGAACATCAAGTTGGCTGCATGTTATACATGCACACATACATATACATACAAAACTGGTTTCTTATGTCAACGCAAATCACAACTCACTGAATTCATTGCTGTGACTGGGAACCAACACCAGCCAGTTTCCAAGGCTGTAAATCAAATGGGAGGAGATTGCCCAGCTTTCTCCCTTGGAGCCACTGGTGGTTAGCTGTGCTATGCACTATGTCACCAGAGCTCCTGAAGCTCAAATAAAAATTGTAGAGGACAAATAGACCAAAAAAAAAATTCACTTTTAAGAAGAAGAAAAAAGGAAACTTCTATGTCTATTGGTATCTCTCCAAGTAAACATCAAATAAGTGATCTTTTGGGGTCCTACTTTGTATTTTTGGGAGATTTCTTAGATTGCAGGTGTAGTAAAAGCTGCTTATTCTGTCAATGTCCCAACTCTTTGCTTAAGGCTGAGACCACTGCCCCAGATTTCCTTCCTACTTATACTTTCTGGGACCTGTCAATATCCTGTGTTGGTAAGCTCCCTGTACATCACTTTATTGTCATAACTTTGCAATTACTAATTTTCCCTACTGGACGGTCTAGTAATTAAAAAAATGGGCTTGGACATTTGCTCATCCCTGATGTAGTCCCATGGCATGGTACATACTAATCCGTATAGGCTGAATGTTGTGAAAAGAAGCGTATTAACTACACTATCTCGTCTGACAGTTACAACCACTTTACAAACACACTACTATCCCTATCTCACAGACTGAAAAACAGAAGTGTCGAGCAATTTAGGTAGCTTGTCACAAGCCACACAAAATGGTACAGTTGGATTTTAACCCCAGGCCAAACTGTTTCAGAGCATTCGCTCTTCATTCCAAGCCACACGGTAAATGACCACGTCGCTGCACGGACCACCGGGAAACCACATCCCCGGGGCGAGGACTAGAAGGACAAAAAGGGGCATGGCTTGCTCGACGGCTTCCGGTGAGGGCGTCCTTTCTTTGCACAGGACAAAGCTTTTTATCAGAACTTAACTAAGGGGGAGCATGCAGGAGGGTGCCTGGATCAATTCTGGAGGGCAACCGGGTGTGGCATATTGAGGCCACAGACCGATCACACTGCTAGGCCTCAAAGAGGCCGAAGCCGATCCCCAGCTATGGCCCCACTGCCAAACCTAAACTGCAGTGATTCCTGGGAAGTCGGGGTCCGGCCAAGCAAGGACTTCACAATCTGCCACCCTCCCAACCCAGTCCGGCCCCGTCCGAAAGACTCACCCGCGCGCAAATACAGCGCCCGCAGCTGCAGCTTCGTTCCCTTTGTCCCGCGCACGCCCCGCCCCTCGCGCTCGAGCTTCCGCACTCGCACTTTCGACACAACTTGGCCATTTACTTGTAGACCGCATTTACGTTTCTTAGGGAGATAAAAGTTTCTATTGAGGGTTTAAGGGTACTTAGTATAACTGACGGGTTTTTTTCCCCAATGCCCCTTCGCTGCTCAGAATCCTCTGAATCAGAGCCGTTTCCAGTTAGGCGCCGATTCGTTACTGCGGAAAGGGCGGAGGCGGCCCGACCTCGGGATGGGCGGGAGGAGCGCGGCGGGAGGGTCAGAGCGTCTGCTGCGTGGGGTGACGCGGTGCGTCGTGTGCGGCTGTCCGGACGGTGGGAGGGACCGTGGCTTCGGCTTCCACCCTCTGGGCCTGAAGACTGGGGCATTGGGGCGACGGGGCGTGAGGCCCGGAACCCTGCTGAGGCGTCCTCGGGGGTTGAGGTGGGCGCCAGGGATTGGAGGGCGAGCACACGGAAGGTGGTGGTAGCCGATGAAGTGGTCCTCCAGTGGGTTTTCGGAAACCGCGCAGATTTCTCCCGCTGAGCGGCTGGAAGATTTGAACGGCCAGAGTGGGCGCCACTGTTGGGTTAGCAGCACACCTACCTCTCCACCCACTAGGCCACCAGAGAGAAAGTGACACCAAAAGGATTGACTTTCTTTAGAAAGGAATTACTTTTTAAAATAGAAATATCCCAGTCATTATAACAGGGAGCTTTTGTGGTAAGAAGCTGCGCAGCTCTTGAAGGCTTGGGGTTTGAAACCACCATCTGCATCGCGGGAGAATGATGTGAAGTCCCTGAGTCTGTGACTCCGTGGTACATAATAGCAATAACAACATAATTGTAATAACAAAAACATTTTTCATATATTCCGCTTAGATGAATTAAGATACCTATATGGCCAAAGCCCTTTGCTAACTTCTGAATCTTTTAATGCCCTCTGGCCAGAGTTGTCATAACTACACTGTTACAATGATGCTTTGTATCAAGAGGCTTAGTGTCCACACGCTATAGGGACATATTTTGAGTGCTTTCAGTCTTGGGAGCTCAACTTCTACCACTGTATCCAAAAATCTTTTGTTATCCGTAACATTTTTGAAAGCTCACTATTTCAGAAGTGTCTGTCTTAACCTGGATATTCAGAAACCTGTCCACCATTGGTGACCCTGCTGGTATTTGAAATTCTGATGGCATGCATCACAGCAACACACAAACCAGTGTGGCAGAGTGACAAACGAGTATTAAAAGTCACGATATGGTGGGGAAATCTTCTGTCAAAGACCTCTCTAAAGTTCTAAAAAGCAGGGCTATCAATGTAAATCCTAAGTAAGGTGCACCTGACCCAAGCCAAGGTATTTACAATTAACTTTTTATGTGTCTGGAAGTTGGACAATGAATAAAGATTCTAGATGCTTTTGAATTGTAGTGTTGGTGAAGAGTATTGAATATACTGCCCTTCTGAATTCAGTTCGTATGGTTCTTTGTCATGCCCTTTTCGACTTTCTCCCTAAGAATCTTTTCTCTGTACTTCAGTGATTGTGGTATACTGAATTAATAGAGGCCCTCCATCCATCGCCTTCCATTTCTGATTCTTGCTTCTTTGTCTATGCTTAAGACCTAATTGGAGGAAGAATTATTTATTATATTAAGAAGATATCCACAATCAACACTCTTGGTACCAGCAGCCAGGAAATGAAAAGACCAATTGCATTGGGAAGGTCTGCTGTCAGAGACCTCTCCAAACTACTGAAGAGTAATGATAGTCTGGAGACTAAGGTATGCCTGATCCAGGACATAGTCTTTGCAATTACTTGCTAGGCATCAGAGAGCTGGACAAGACTAGGGATGATAGAAGGAAAATTGCTGCCTTTGAGCTGTGGTGCTGGAGAAGAGTATTGAATATACCATGGACTGCTAGGAACCTGCTACAAGTTCATCCTAGAGGATGTGAGACCTGGTTGCTCCTTGGAGATAAGGAGTCTGAGCTTTGTCTGATATACTTTATAAATGTTGCAAGGCAGGACTAGTCTTTGGTGGAGGGACAGCACAAAAGAGGAAGACCCTTAATGAGATGGATTCAGTGACTGAGGTAATGGGGGTAGGTGTGTCAGCGACAATAAGATTGGCACAGGATAGAGCAGGGTATAAATTGCAGGCAACTTGATGGCACATAACAACAAGGACATAGGTTTAGGGTAGGGTACAAACCCCACTCTACTGGAAGTTATGACCCAAGGTGCCACCCTTAATTCTTCTGGGGGTATTATTTGTACCACTGAGATCCTATATAAAAGAATGGTCCTGGGAAGCTAAACAATTGTTTGCTTGGGATGCTTCATCTGACCTGATCAAGTTGCTCAGATAGCCTCTGACTTCAGGATCCTCGCTTATTGTTCAGCAGTCTCTGTGACCATGTACATTGGCCCACGTCATCCATAATTGCATGTAGTATTTTTTTGACTCTGAGACTTTCTGGCAAGTTACAGAACATAAAGACATAGACAGGAGTTTGAAAAGAGTAGGAATAATGATGTCAGATGATGGGATGGCACAATAGTTTGGACATTTGGAACATTGTTAACCTCCATCTTAGAAGAACTACTGTTGTTAGGTTCTGTCAAGTAAAGTATGACTCATTGCTATGAACCTATGAACAACAGACTTGAATCCTGTGCCATCCTCATCATCTCAGATACACTTGAGCCCATTGCTGTACCTTGCCAATCTCGTTGGGGAGGGGTTTTCCTCTTCTTTTATTGACCCTCCACCTTCCCAAACATGAGATTCCTTTTTAAGGAATTCCTAGCAACATATCCAGAGTATGAGAGACAAAGCTTCTCCATCCTTGCCTGCAAGGAGCACTCTGGTTGCATTCTTTCGTTGTTTTGGCAATCCATGGAATATTCGGTATTCTTCACCACGATCCATAGGTGTCAGTAATTCTTCTGTCATCCTTATTCATTGTCCAGCTCTGATATGCATAACAAATGACTGAAAGGACTAAATTCAGCACACTTTAGTCTTCAAACTGAAATCATTGCTCTTCAGTAGTTTTGGAGAGGTTCCTGAAAGTAGACTTGTCCAAAGCAATGATCTGACTGCTAGTACCAAAAATATTGATTGTGGATTCGAGTAAGATGAACTCGTTAACAGTTTCAATCCGATCTCCATCTAGCATGATGTTGCCTATTGGCCCTGTGGTAAGAACCTTTGTTTTCTTGATGTTGAGATGTAATCCCTGTTGACGGCTGTAGTCTTTGATCTTCTACAGCAGGCATTTCAGGTCCTCTTCACTTTCAGCATGCACGGTTGTGTAGTATAATGCAGATTGTTGATGAGTCTTTCTTAGATTCTGATGCTGCAATCCTCTTCATAGAGTTTAGCTTTAGGAATTGAAAGAGTATGGAGAAGGATACAACCCTGACTCACACCATTCCTGATTTTAAACCACGCAGTGTTTTCATGTTCACTCAGACAATGACTTCTTGGTCTAGGAATAGATTTCTCATGAGCATGATTAAGTGTTCTGGGATTTGCATTCTTCTCAGTGCTAGCCATAATTTGTTATGATCAACACAGTCAAATTCTTTTGCATAGTCAATAAAACATGGATAGCCATTCTTCTGGTATTCTTTGCTTTCAGTCAGAATCCATCTGACATCAGCAGTAACCCAAGACTACAGGAACTAGTTTTATACTAGTCACTATGAAAGAAATTATTTATGCAATGATATTTTTTATAATATTGTAATTCCATACCCATCCATTTTTGTGGTATCTGTACATTGTGTTGAGTTGCCTTTTTCAACATTAGTGCGTTATGAAGGCCTTGAAACCAAGGAATCAATCTTCTATATTGATCATCTTTATATTATTCCTAGTACAATACTGTTTGACTCATTATTAGGTGCATAATGTACATTGAAGCAGGCTCCTGACCTAGTCTTGGGCTTTTCCTATTAAGTCATGATGATGAGTAAGTAAGTTTACCATGTAGAGTGAGGAGACCCTTCCATGGGCTGATGTTGTGGGTCACAGTAGAGGAAGAAAGACCAGGGGAGATTCCTAACTTGTAATTACTTTGTTAACAACTAGATGATACTAATGTTGACATTTAGAGTGACAGGCTGCCCTCTGGTCATCTTGAATGTGCCAGTAGAGAATGGAGCATCTCTAGAAGGAGGCAAACTCTTAGTCTTTTGTCATCTTAATCTCAAACATATTTGAGCCCATTGGTACAGTAAGACTGAAGAGTGAAATATCCAGCATATAGATTCTTCACACAAATTTTTTTTGTAATAAAAGTCAGGACACAGTATCTTGTATCCTTATGAAGAGGTTTATAGAGACCATAGGGCAAACTTTTGGAATTGTAATTATTCCTGGCAAGTCTGGGATGTAACATTGTGAATAAAAGTTGTTGGAAGCCCTCACTCGGGCTACAGGTAAACTTGAGTTTATGCCAAGGTAATTTATTTTCCTTTTTGGCCACAAGATTTGTCCTACTTTCTTCTCTTGCCTTACCTGTACTTTCTTTGGGTTATTTTCCCCTTAAGGCAGGAAAGTAAAAACTAATAGATAATTAAAGTGAAATTCAAGTCTGGTCTTTGATTTCTTTCCACACATCATAGAAAGGAGCTGGTGAGACAGAATTAGGAATAATAAAAATGCTGTGACAGGTAGAGAAGAAGAAAAAGAAAATGGGGGAGGGCATGGATAATCTGAGCCCGGGACACCTCAGAGTCCATGGTGATATGCTCCAGGAGGTCTATGAGCTCTTTAAAATTGTGCACTATTTCTAGATATATGTTTATGGATAGAGTGTTGGTAATTTCAGATTTTCAAAGAGATCTATGACTGAAGAGAGATTTTTGCCCCAACTATTGAGCAATTGGTCTGAAATATGTTATGATGTTTTTTAAGTGGATTTTCCCTTGTCTTAAAATACAGAGGACATAGTTTTTCCAAAGAGCCCATAAAATTCTGGTTACAAAGGAACTCTGGTGGCCTAGTGGTAAGAAGCTGCACTGCAATCCCTAAGGCACAGCTGGAGAAGGAGGGGTATCTCCTCCTGTGCCAGTTGGATCTGATTTGATTGTACACAACAAGAAAAAAGAAAGAAGTCTGGTTACAGGCAAAATGGTGAAACAGCCTAGTTTTCTCAGGTATTTCTTCGAGAGCAGAAGGAATTATGAGTATTTTCATTCTGTCGCTAGAAAGAGTAATAAAATATTGAAGTCCAGCAGCTTTCAGAGAGATTTATTTATCAAATTTAATAAAATGTGGTTTATTTTATAACCTGCTTTGCCTCCAGAAAGATGAAAATATTTGAAACATTCCTAGAGAATCTGCAATGTAGGTCTGTTATTCACAGACTTTACTGAGGGAACTAGGGCAGGGGGCCTAATGCCTCCTGGTTTTGGTTAATAAACTTTTATTTATACAGCCACTCCTATTTCTTGATGTATTGTTTTTGGCTAAATAGCAGAGTTGCATGGTGATAGAAGGTAAGGTCAGCAAAACCTAGAATATTTACAGGAAAACTTTGCCTTTGTTCACAGGATCACTATGTCTACGCGACTGGACACCACCGGAACAGTCTAGAATTTTCCTGGAGCAAGATGGAGAATCTCCTCCCATACAATTTATTACCTCTGAAAACTGGAGGATCAGCTAGGTATGAGTGAGTTCCACCTCGACAGCAATGAGATGCGATGAGTCTACAGTTGAGTTGTTTGATGACATACTTGGTAGAAGTTGTGCTGTTAACCCAAAGATGATGCTTCTCTGGCAGTTCAGATGCACCAACTGTTCAGTAGGCAATCTCCTCCCATTTGATTTATAGCCTCCCGAAAACCTACTGTCAAGTCAGCTGTGAATTGGTTTCAACTAGACGTCAGTGAGGTAACTGTGGGGAACACTGGGAGTAGCTTGTACTAATAATATAACTTATTTCACACAATGTATTTTAAATGCTGAGCTTGTAAACAAAGAGCCAGATTTTGCCCCTTGCACAGACTTTCCTTTGATTTATGTACTGATAATTTAATTAAATACATAAAGGCATATAATCTAACTGAAGTGTAATTTTGGGCCATGTACCATAATCCATGTTCAGGTTAATTTAAAGATTTTTAATTTGAGAGCATTTTTGTACTTTAAAGTCTTCATAGAAGAACAATTACAATTGGATAACTTAAGTAGGAAAAATAGAAACTTTTGATAGCAACTGAAGAATTAAAAGTATTACCTTTAATTGCTGTGTTTTGAACTTGCCCTCACGTAGTCAGCTCTAACTATCCTAGTAAATTATTCCTTCCCAGCAACACTGTTCATTCACATTTTTGTTATCTGTTGGTCATTCACATAGTGCTGTTTACTTGATTGTTGCTGTTGTGTGCCCTTATAGTCAGAATCAACTCAATAGTTGACCCTCTAGCACGTTTTCAGGAAATCACACAGGAGGAGATTGTCCATCCTTGTGGACCAGCTGGTTGGTTCAAACCAAGAACCACTGGGATTGCAATGCAGCTTCTTACCATTAGGTCACCTGAGCTCCTTTTTCTTTGATTAGTGCTTTATGAAAAAAAAATATATGTATATATATATATATATATATATATATATATTTTACTTGAAACAACTCTTGAGGAAAGCAGGGTAGTCATTAAGCATCACATCTCCTTTGGCCTGAATTTCTTAGTGCTGTTATAACAGAAATAGCATAAGTGGGTGGCTTAATGAAGAACTTACTTTCTCACAGTTTAGGAGGCTAAAAACCACTGGTTCTAGTTTTTGTGTTCTGGGAGGGGAAGATCTTTGTCATTTTCAGTTCATGATAATATGGTGATTAATATCTCTTTCCCATTGGTCCTTGATTTCATGTGTCTAACCTGCTTTTTATATATCAAAAGAGGAATGGCCTGGTTAGCAAAGAAAATCCTATTTCCAAAGGAGATTCCCACTTGAGCTGTAGAGTTTAGGATTGATGAAACATATTTTGAGGTGACTGAAAGTGTGGAAATTGAGACTCAGGGTATTTAAGGTGATTCCCTTCCAGTTGCAATGGTTGATTTACTGACAGTGCTAGAATCCAGCAATATTTGTATTTGGAATTAATTCCTCATTTCTGTGCTTTTTTGTGGGAGCATGTATTTAAAATATTTCAGAGAGGCTGGTAAATAGTAATTATTATTCATTTATAAAAAACGTGGATGGGATGAAGGAGTAGAAAAGGTTAAATGGAGACTTGAAAAACAGGGTAGTAATAGGCATAGATCAATTGTAATTAACTATATATGATACAATGTATATGAATGATTGTATGAAATAATATCATTAAAGGTGTATAAAAAGCAGTGTACATGAATTAAACATAATGGAGACAAATTATTGTATGAAAGGAAAAAAATACTTTTAAAAAAGGAGGATGAAAATTGTGCATTTTGTAGAATTGTCCTAAGGAGTGAGATTATGGAGGAGTCTGCTGAGCAGTTAGGAAGTCTGAAGGTCTAGTCCGCAGGGAGTTGCACTGCAAACTCAAAGGTGGCGCCTTGCTGGCAGTTTGAACCCACCAGCAGCTCCATAGGAGAAAGGTGGGCAATCTCCATTGGTGCCATTTACAGCCTCAAGTTTGATAGAGGGTCTTTAAGGAGTTGGTTCAGACTCTGCAGTATTGAGGGAGAGCTGAAAAATGTCTAGAGCAGAGCAGACTCTTTGCAAAGAGTTGTTACTGTTATTCTGTTTCCCCAGGATTATATGATTTATTTTCTTTTTTACTAGAATATAATCTTAAAGATACTATTCTTAGCTTCTCTTCTGAAAAATAAATGTAAAACCCAGCAAAGAACCCGCTTTTCCCAGTGTTGAACCAGTTTGTCCTCTTGCTTAGCCATGCACTGATATCGCTCATTCAAAAGGACTGTGCCTTAAACTCAAAAGCAGTAAAGTTCATGTTTCTTTTTTTTTTTATTGTAGTGGTATCATTTACTTTGGTAAAGTCATACCCCAATTTAAAAGGCCCCTGAAACAAATAAAATTTTATTATAAATCCAGGTATTTGAGAATGTACATGTTGCACACATAATAGCTTCATAGTGGAATTACTATAACAAGTAGTTACATTCATGATGCCCAACACTAAATTCTTAACACTGCATGTAAATTTCATTAGGTAGATTGCTATATTATGATTGCTGTTTCTTGGTACAGTAACTTTAGTACAACAGCCTACATGATTTGCATTTTTTAAGCTTTAATAGAATGAGTAGCATTTTATGGAGCAAAAGCACTTGTATGTATAGGATGCACAGTAGATCAGATACTTATGCAAGAATAAACATTTAACATGCTTTTGTATCACTGATAAAATCATCCCCTTTCTCTAAATAGAATAAACCTAACTCAAAGAATCAGAATAATTGAAAACAAATTTTATATCCCTGTCTTATGCCAAAAATTATTTAACATAATTTTCTTCTGATTAAAACATACTTTTTCCCTGCTGGTGAAATAAAAAATAGAAATGGAGAGAGAGATATTGTAAAGCATCTACTAAAATACTGACACAGCTGTAGCCCTTAGATGATTCTTTTGCTGCAAAAAAGAATGGTGAGTTACATACTCGACCATCATTTCTGCTTAGAAAAAAAATGTATAGCCTATAAATTTAAATGTTTTAAATTTATTCTTGAAGGTCATAAAATAAATATAGTTGCATTAAACAAATTAGGTTGTTTTAAAAACTTTGCAACAATACTTCATTTATTCACAAATATATTTTCTATCCATATTATTACAATTTAAATAATTTAAAAACATAAATCCTGCAGCTACTCTCAGCTTAGATAGCAATACTGTTATCCTAGTTCATGTAAATGAGGGAAAGATAGATTTCAGTATTCATATAGTGTCTGAGCAAGGTTCATAGCCTTTGAGTTAATACTGTCTTTGAGTTAGTTAGCTGCTGAGGGGTGTTTAATAGAGGGGATACTGCACAATTTTCTCATAGTAAGCCTGACATTCCTATCTGTTAGATAATCCTGCTTAGTCTGTAAGCATTTAAATGAATCACCAGTAACTTTATGTGTGGAAAAATTGGAATAGTGAGAGTTTTGGTAACTTTCTGTTCAACTAATATAATAACAACAACCTCTTCAACTTGCTTTTTCATACTTTGTTGGTGTAGCTGTTCACATTCTGGGGAGGTGGCAGTGGGGTGCAATGAGGGATACCGCTTTTAAGCCTTTTTGACTAAACTACCTTTCTGTAAATCAGAAAGGTAATAATTACAAAAACCTTACAGATGTAGGTGAACTTAACAAATTAGTCTTGGGATATGTTCTATAGCTTGCTCAGAACTGCTCAAGGGAAAAAAAAATTCATTTGGAAGAGTCATTCTTCTACATGTACAAATGATTGTCTCAGAAACTATCTTGTTTAAAGAGTAGAGAAACCCCTTTTTTTTAAGGTTTAGCCAGTCAAGGAAGAACAATGAAGAACTCATATGCAAACAAACTTGCTTTTCTCTTTAGAATATTCAGCCATTGAGAGAAATTACAAAGATTTAAGTAAATCAATTTATTTTTAAACTCTCTGGTAAAATTTCAAGGAAAAATATTTAGAGAATAAATAAAATAGGAACCAATACTGAATTCCTAATTTTCTTTTTAAGTCTCTTCTCCCCTTGAAATAAATCCACAATTAGGTTCAAAGGAACTTTGTCTCTTGCTTTTTAAATTTTTATTCCTAAAGAGAATACTACATTGATCATAACCTTCCATATAAGTTCTCACTAGCATATTTAGGGATGGAAGGGGCCAGCATGGCTCACCTAGGTCCATCCTATGGACATTTTCAAAACATGTCAAATACTGTCTTCACGTTAATTAGCTGCTGATGGAGGTTTGATAGAGGGGATACTGCATGATCTTCTCATAACCAGTCTGACTTCTATATCTGGTAAATTATCCTGCTTAGTCTGTAAACACCCCTCATCAGTGGCTGCTAAGTGGAGATCAAATCGCAGAGAAACAGACTTTTTCCTCAATGGAGGATTATCTTTAAAGAAGGAACCTTCCCATTCTTTTATAACTTCATCAACTTTCTCTGTCCTGAAATGATAAAAGAAGCCTTTCTAGATAAAACGGTATAGATGTATTTTTTAAAAAAAAAATATAAATATATATATCTTGTATGCTATATTTATGAAAAGGAACCAAGAAAGCTATATAATTTATAGTTTATAGAGTTTAAAGTTTATTTACTTAAAAATCATGAACTAATTTCTATGGCATTCTCATGTTTTAGTTGTACTTTTTAAGGACAAAATGGTGACTTAAGGATTGAGTACTCTTTCATATGACTTTTCTGTTTATAAAGATTATATAATAATATTGATTAGAGAATAGATTTTCATGTCAGATTAAAATTCACAATACAGGTATATACCACTTAAAGTCTGTGATAGATTCTGTGAAACAGGGTGTGATGGGATTTGGATAGTGAGTGAAGACTGTATTAAAACCTTATGAGAACCTGCTCCTTGTTATCCTTGTGGCCATTGCCACCACTGTTGGAGCTGTTGGCAGAGGCTGGCATACATGGAGGGGAACTGGTGGTGGCACAGCAAGAGGAGCTATCGAGGAAGGGAACAGAGATGGCCGGCCCTGCCCTGCCTGTAATTCTGGGTGCCTGAGCAGGCTCCAGCCTCCAAAGCCATTGTCTAGTAACCATGTCTTCCACCTTACCTGCCTGTATCCCACCCTGGACCCAGTGCCACATGATTCTGAGTTTGGGTTGTTCTGTTTTTTGTTAATAAAAAAAAAATTTAGAGGAAAATAATAAAAAAATAGATTCACTTTTCCTTAGAAACAAGCAAAACCCCACCAAAACCCAAGAAACTGGTGGGATCACTGACATGTCGATATAGTAAGACTTTGTCTAAACAGAAGTTACTGTATGCTCTCATTTTATATTTAGAAACATTTAAAGGGAGAAAATAAATTCATGGGTTCTTCAGTTGGAAACAACTCCAACAATCCCATTTGGTATGCTTGTTATTATTTCTCAGTCTAAGTGATAGTACTTACTGTATCGTGCCGTGTGCCTCGGTGCTCTCCTTCACGAGGTTCCCATTTAAAATTGCTTGCTTGGTTATTGTTCCCACTCTTTCATTCTCACATTTTTGTGCGACTTTTGTTGAAAAAGATATTTCATTTATAATGGCTGCAGAAACATCATTTATGAGTAATTAAATGTCAGTATTCAAATAGTGTCCATAGTTCACATATCAAACATTTGTTTGAATTCTGCTTGTTTTTGCTTCTTTGCAGTTGCTTTAGGTGCAGTTGAGTAGATTTCCACTCATCCCCACCCCATGTGGCCAAATGGAACTGCCCCAGAGGGTTTTCTTGGCTTTGCTCCTTACAGAAAAAGACTTCCAGGCCTTTCTCCTGCTGAGTAATGGGGTGAGTTTACATCTTTCACTCAGCAACTGAGTGCTGAACCGTCTGTGCCACCAGGGTCCCTTTGCTACTTTAGGGTATTTAAGTCTGTTATGATCCCTGTAAATGGATGCCACATTTCAAGTTTTTGTTTATTTATATCACAAACTCACCTGAAGGTAAAACAAACCCAACTCTGCTTGTGGTAGGTTTTTTATCTTTTTTCTCACCTTGTATAGAACCATAATATCTGAAAGTGGAAAGAATTACAGAATTATATGAGTAAAATAGCAAATTTTTGCAACAACCAGAACATCTATCATCAGAAAAAATGGATAAATAGAGTTATGTTTTAGCGGTTGTTATACACTGTTGATGTTATTAAATGCTGTCAAATTGAAACTGACTCATAGCTGACCCTCCAGTGGGTTTTCAGAGGCCATATGTAATTTGCATGGTAGAGATATCCATCTTTCTCCCATGGAGCAGCTGATGTGTTTGAATCACCTATCTTCAGGTTGGCAGTGCAACGCTCTACCCATTAGGTCACCAGAGGTCTTTTCATATACTACTTACAGTGAAAAGAAATGAAATATCTCCATGAGTAGCATAACATTGAAAGGGAGGGGGGAACCCTGGTAAACATAAAATTCATCAGCCAGGTAGGTAGGAGCAGGGCGGAGGATGAGATGGGATAAGACAGGTACTCCACAATTTCAACTACATTGAAAATGCTTTATTTCTTAAACTGGGGGAAGGGGATCTATGAGTGTTCATTAAATTTTTTTAATACCTTTTTGTACATCTTAAATAAATAACGACTCAATGGCAATCAATAATAACAACAACAACAACAAATAAAGAACAATACATTTTTTAAAATTACAGAAAGCATTAAAGAGCCAGTTTGTCAACATCTTGAATGATTAGGAATGAAATAACATTTATAATCACTTTTTTTGTTTAACACTTATGTACTACATATTATGTTTTCACATACTGTTTAAAAAGTACTTCGAAACATTAACTTGTTTAATCCTCATGGGTACCTACCTTAAGAGGTCAGTACTGTTATAATTTTAATTTTACAGATGAAAAAACCGAGATAGTCACTCAGCAAGTGGTATACTTTGAAAGATTTAGTCAATGTCAAGACTTTTATTACAGGCTAAAGGTGTTTGATCTAGTTTTTAATGGCTCGGAATTCTGAAGCAAGTTTCTTTTTTTATGAGATTGTGGAGAATAAGAGGTTGTGCTATGTGTTCCAAGCTGTATATAGACTGTGAAAATGTATGAATTATAAGCAGTTCCTCTTTTATTTTTTTTT